CACAGCTCCATTGACTTCATGGAGCAGCTCCTCTCCATTGAGTCCAACAGGAGCCCAGAGGATTTCTCACTGCAGGTGCCTTTTTTGTATACACCCACATTTCAGTAGGTGACTCCCAAGGCTACTGCAGCACGGGGTAGGGCAAGAGGATTATTTCAGGGTCCAGACAACATTCCTGCTCATGTATCCCAGTCAGTTTGTCATCCTGTTTTTACAAAAGCACAACGCTGCTGCCAATGCTTCCCAAATCCAGGATGAAGTTGGTGGCCCCTCCTGCCAGCTGGCTGCCCAGACAGACCTCCATCTTCTGGTTTGCTTTTCTGAGTTCCTGCCTGCAGAACCATGCATTTCTCCTTTGTCCTCTGTGACTCTTCATCAGGGACTTGTAGCGATAGGACAAGGGGTGATGGCTTCAAATTGAAAGAGGGGAAGTTCAGGTTGGAGATAAGGCAGAAGCTCTTCCCTGTGAGGGTGCTGAGGCACTGGCACAGGGTGCCCAGAGAAGCTGTGGCTGCCCCATCCCTGGCAGTGTTCAAGGCCAGGTTGGACACAGGGGCTTGGAGCAAGCTGCTCTAGTGGAAGGGGTCCCTGCCTGTGGCAGGGAGTTGGAACTGGATGATCTTAGGGTCCTTTCCAACCTAAACCAGTCTGGGATTCTATGATTTTTCAGACCATCTCTCCAATGGTAGTACCACGTGAATCCAAATCTGCTCTTCCAACATGCTGCTGCCCTCTCAGATGGGATCTTCTGCAAATTTCACTTTACTCTTTGTTACATCCTACTCATTGATGAATATGTTGAGCTTGTCCCACGACAGACCCCTGTGAAATCCCACTTGATACATCCTTCAGGGGTGAAAAATGTGTCAAACCTGCTACCTACTTTGCAGTAGTTTATATTCCCCTTGATTTTTATGAGAATGCCTTGTGAGAGTGTTCAGAATGCTTAACTGACACCCTAAAAGGTATCACAGAACTGCCTTCCCCATGTTCATGAGCCCTATTATGTTCAAATAGAAATGAGGTTCATTTAGCACCATCAGTTCTTTCAAATCCCTGCCACCTGCTCTTTATCCCTTTCTTTTCTTCTGAATGTTTTTAAACTGTTGTGCTGTTTGTTAGAGGATTTTCCTGGGAATTAAAGATGAGTTGCTTTGTGTTATTCTTCCTTTTACCACCTGTTTTTAAAGGAAGACAAGCATCATCCCTTTTTCACATCCTTATCCCATCCCACCTCCAGAGACAGCCCATCGCTGGCGTCAGGTGCTTTCCACTGCTGAGGCACCCTCAGTGAACTCCTCTGGGCCCAGCAACTGAAACAAAACCTGAATTCTATGAACTGCGTGTTTTTGACTTTAGGATCAGAGCTGATCTTTGCTGTTTAGACAAAAGTCAAACCAGGAGAAAGTCTGGCACTCAACCCTGCGGAAACAGGATGGTCTGGAAACCTCGTGTCATCTCAAGGAGCAGCTCTGAAGAGCCGTGCCCTCTGTGTCGTTGCATTGGCTCATCTGTGTGTTCATTTCCTGGTGCTGTGTGGGGCACAGTGCCCTGGCAGTGAACTCGAGGTGCTCTGTTCCATTGCCTATCAGAACTTTATTTAAGCATCTATGTCACAAGGGTATTGCATCATTATTTTGCTTAGTCCTTCTCTGATACCTTAAAATACCTTCCTACTACTTTTGGAAAGTTCCTATTTTCATTTAGACAGAAATAAGAAAATGAGTAATACAGGTTATTTTTCGGTCTGACACTGTCACGGGTCTTTGATGACACTGCTTCAGCTGCTTCCCAGGCAGGGTTTTACTGCTACTTCCAGCAGTGCTGATCAGCAGCACTCTGATGTCTCTCTGTTCCCCATGGTTCTAGTTCACAAAAGTGGAGGGACTTTTAATTTCACTTTCTAGGTGTATCTGTCTATAGAACTGATTAGTGTGGTTCTATCAAAATGTGAAGGTGACCAATGGATTTTATGAACCTGAGGACTTTTCGGCACCTGTAGAGCTGAATGGCAGGAGGCAAAGGGTTTGCAGGTTCTGTATGGACTGAAACTGGGAGTGCTCTTGCAAGATCCCTCTTGCAGATCTTAACTTTATAAATCCTTCTGTGGATGACACAGAGCAAGAGAGTGAGCTAAATCCATGTCCAACATGCCCAAAAATCCCACAGGGAGCTCTGCACAAGGACTTCTGGAGGCTCGGGGACAGAAAGCAGCACGTTAGGGAGTTCTCCTATTGCTTCTGACAAGTTTATGGGGTTGGATTAAGGTACTTCTTGTCAGTTTATTTGGAGGAGGAGGAATAATTTGGAGGTGGTGGAAAGAATCAAAGATTCCTTTTGCAGAATAACTTGTGGTAAGAGCAGCAGCAGGTTCAACACATCTAAAGTCTTGGTAGAGGAGGACTGGGGGGAGGCTGGGTGAAATTGTGCTTACACAGGGTACATGCAGTTTTGGCAAGACTTTTTTCACTTTATCATGTGGGTGGACGAACCCCAAAGGAATTAGAGGTACCGGATTTCCTTTCATTGTGGATTCCTGGCTTTCTCAGTGACAAAGCCGTCACAGCAGCACTGACAGAGCACCTGAGCCCACCACAGGAGCAGAGATCATGATTTTGTACTTAAACATTTGTTTCTCTTTCTTCTCTTTCACTTGCATACACACGTGCGCAAGCACATTCTTAGAGGTGGCATGGGGTTATGGTATAGCGGAGGACTTCTACGAGGATTGACATGTCAGGTGGAAAAGGAACTTTGTCTCTCCCTGTGGATACGAAATGTCTTAGGTCTAGGTCTCTTGCTAATGGTAAGTCATGGTTCAAGTAGGTGACAAAGGCTTATCACAGGTTTGGGTTGGAAGAGACCTTAAAGCTCATCCCGTCCCAACCCCCGGCCACAGGCAGGGACAGCTTGCTCCAAGCCCCTGTGTCCAACCTGGCCTTGAACGCTGCCAGGTGTGGGGTAGTCACAACTATTCTGATAGAGGAGTCAAAGGTCTGAGGTTGCCTGGCTCTTGGTACAGGGACAGGAGAGTTATGTTGCTGTTATGACCTCTTCTGGGCATGGTAGTCATGAACCTGTTTCCAGTAGGACACGCTACACTTTGGAAGGGAGGATTTTGTTGTAGAGGGGAGAGAGTTTTATGCATATTGAGGAACATATGTACAACCAGCTCTGCTTTGGAGAGACAGGCAGTGTGTTGAAAATGTGACATAAAGGGATGACTCTGACAGCAGCTGCCTCCTGTGAAGTGGTTCACTGGTTTTGTTGAAGTTTATCCATGTCTGGGTACTTTGTTGCAGGCAGTCAGTGGTTTTATAGATACCCTGTTTTTTTCATGGATGATGCCTAAGCAAGTCCAAAATTAGAGCACAAAGTGGAATTTCAGGGAAGCCCAAGGAATTCAGGCTAATGTGTGTTGCGTTAGTTTCTGTGGATGATGTCTGTTGGATATCTTCCGGACTGCCTCGGTACCTGCAGCCGTTGCATCTTTCTGTGATCACCTTCCTTTGGTCTGGAAAACAAAGGGGTATTTCTATCCCTCTTGCTAGGAGCTGGATACTGTTATGGCAATCACGGGATTACCTACCCAGAAAGGGGCTGTGATGCCTGCGAGGGCCGCACTGCCATATGAGGGCTACAGAAGGTGTGTCCTGTCCCGCTGTGTGCTGGTCGCAGCCCATGGCTGCTAGAAAGCGTGCACAGCAACGCGGGATGTCAGCACACACCCCCTCTATCCACAGCATCAGCTGCCTCCCGATCCTGGTGCCGGCGGGATGACGGGGTCCAGCCTCAGGCGCCGCAAGCGGACCCCTTCCCCGCAGCAAGGGGCATGGGCTGTGTGCCGGCGGGGTGCGTGCCCGCCTGCAGCTCCGGTACCGCATGTTGGAGCCCCTCATACCGCAGTGTGTGAACCAGCCCGCTCGGTGCCGGCACGGCCTCCTCCGACGAGCGCCTTTCCCTGCCCCTGGCAGTGTGCTGGGTGCGGTGCCGCACCGGGCAGACCCATCGCTGGCTGCGCGCACCGTGTCGGGGGCCGGCCCGCGCCATCGCTCCCTCCCCGCCTCTCGCAGCCTTGGCTTGGTGTGTAAAGCTCCATCCCCGCGGAGCAGCGAGGCCCTTGATTAATTCCACGCTGATGTCAGCCATGCGGCTCTGCTGGGAGGGATCTGCAGGGCTGCGTTTCAGCCGCCCTTCGCTGCGAGGATCCCCCTCCCGCCGCCCCCCGGCGCACGCAGGGCTGGGCTGGTGGAAGGGTCGCTGCCGGCCTCGCTGAGCTGCGCCTCCATCCATCCATCCCTCCATCCCTCCCTCCCTCTCCAATGCCGGATTTTCCCTGCTGGTCGCTCTCGCCCGGCCGCGGGAGCAGCGTAGTTAAACTGGGACAATGCGCCGCGTCCCCCCTCTGCTCCTGACAGCCCGTTCCTTAGCAACGCGGGGGGGGATTTTAAGAGAAGATCAGAGCGCCGGGATGAGGATATAAACTCTGCTGTTCTCCCTCCCGGGGAACTTACCAAAGAGGCACCTCTCCTGTCGTCAAGCATCTGATTTCTTTCCATACAAGAGGCAACGGGAAAGTCTCCGAGAGCTGCTTCCCTGATGGATGGCTGCCCGTCCCCCCCCAGCAGCTCCTCTGCTCCGGCGCTTCACTCTCCAGTTCCACGCCCGGGGCAACATTTAAAGGGAAGCCCGAAGCGGGATCAGTAAGCTCCCTGCATGCGTATGCAGGTGACTGAGCAGGGGGCCGGTGGGCAGACGGGGGACCCAGGCAGCCGGGGCTTTCCTCCTCCTCCTCCACGCTGAGGGAAAGTAGCTTTCGTCTTTTTGTTCTGACTTTGGGCAAGGGAGGGCGGGAAGCAGACTGAGCCCAGCTCCTTGCTGAGATGAAACGGTCGATGAGAAGAGGTCTCCTTGTCACAGGCACAAAGGCCACCTCCGCCTGGCAGCATGGTGCTGAAATCTAACCCTAGCATCATTCTCTTGTGCTCTTTCCTGCCCAGTGACTACATCATTGAGGAGAAGACGGCCGTGCTGCAGAAGAGGGAGCATGAGGGATTCGGGTTTGTATTGCGAGGGGCCAAAGGTAAGGGCTGCTTCTTTCGCTTGGTCCTGGGGCTGGGAGGGAAAGCTGCTTCTGCTCGCTTCACCCGGGGCCCCAGACCCTGTGTCCCTGTGTGAGCCCCTGTGCTCTGGGGTCTTGGAAGGACCCTTCCCTGGCAGCAGGGGATGGGAGTGAGCTGGGCTCTGGTTACCTGCATCCTGCAGGAATGCCATTCGTGGCAGATGTGCATCACTCACACTCTGGGGTGTTTCTCTGGTGCAGATGCTGTTGTTCATGGCTTTGCATTTGTAGTTTTCACTTCTGCCTGTTTGTTGGGTGTCTAATGCGCATCTGCCCTGTATCAGGCATAGATGTGAGCCCCATGGGGCTGGGCCTGTGCCCTCTGTGGCTCTTTAGTGCTTACAGTATTTAGAGTTGTGATCCTCCTGCTGGGAGCCCTGGCTCTGTTGGGGTTCAGCCCCAGCATGAGGGCAAGCTGAAAGATGTCTGTCCTGCATCGTGCCTTTGACCCTGTACTCCTGGGAGCCTCAGCTCATGCCAGGGCACCATCCCCTGAGATCCCTGGAGTGCCTGAGCTCCTGCAGCTGGGACCTTGCACTGGCTTGTTACTGGGGCTCCTCTTGCCAGAAACCAACCTTTTTGCTGCAAAAGAAAGAGAGTCCCTTGGGGACTGGTAATGAATGTGCTTGTGTTCACATAGGAAATGGGCTTGAGCCCCTGTGCTTGAGAGGCAAGTCCACCTCAGCTGGAGGCTCCTCTCTCCAGCATTCCAGCCTGGAGGCTGGTGAGAGGCAGGGGGATCTCAGAAATGCAGCTGCTGGCAGCAGAGCTCAGCGAGGCATGTAGGGTGCAAGATGCAGGAGGGGAAGCTCAGACGGTGGCTGCCAGCTGGTTTGGTGGTGCTGCTCCTTCCCTGAACCTCCGGGTGGTTGCAGACTGTTGTGATTTGGGCTTTAATGTTGGGTGTGATTGTCTGGGGGGGGTCATGAGTTGTCTTTGTTCTGGGGGTACCGCAGCAGGACTCTGTGTGCCAGTGGGTGCATTTGCATTCCTGTCGGAATACGGTTGCTACCTCTTCCTCCCCTGTCTCCCCTTCCCTATATATGTGACATATGTGTCTGTCCATGTGCTGCTCACATCAGTTTGTGCAACATGAAGTGAAACTTCACAGCTCAAAATGGCATCCATTTTTTTGCCAGATCAGATTTGCAGTTATTGTTCTAGGGAAAACGGGATAGATTTTTTCCTGTTTCCTTTTTTCTTTCCTTTTCCTCGTTTGCCCTCCCAGCATCCGTAGGCTCTACAATTCCCTTTGTCTGCTGAGGCTGGAGAGGGGACTTGCAGTGGGTCGAGTGGTGGGCGTGAGGCTGTGTGGGACTTGGGTCGGGCTGTGCTGCAGGGGCCGTGAGCAGCGCAGCTGCAGAGGGTCGTGGCTCAGGAGTGGGTATGGTCTGTCCTGCTGGGATAGAGGCACTGGAGGCTCTGCTGATCCCCCTTGGGGAGCAGCAGACCCATGACAAGGAGGTGGACGTGGTGGCTCTGCATCACCCCCATGTTTCCCAGCCTGGTGCTTCGTGCTGCTGTGGAGCTGAAGCTGGGAATGCTCCGTCTCGTTCCTGTCGAGTCTCACCACCACTCATGCTTCATTTAGACACTGTGCAAAATGCTTCCGGCCTCAGGGGGTGAACTGGAGAAGGGGTCTGTAAATGGGAGGGACCAGAGCATCAGCAAAGTCTCTGCAGAGGGAGGGGGCTGGTTGTTAGGTGAGACTCAGCTGGATGATCCCCAAAGGAAACTGCCCTTTGTGCTGCAGAGGATGGTGAAAACCTTGCATGGCTTCTGCCAGTTTTGCTGAGGGTTGAGTCCTTCCCAAGCCCAGCCTTGCCCATCCTTGTGAGCTGCCCCATCATCTGCACCCAGCAGAGAACACCCACCACCACGCTGGGGAGCCAGTGCTTCCTAACCCGTCCCCTCTCCACCTCAGTCCAGTAGTGGGAGGTGATGTCCCAGTCAAACCAACTGAGCGTTTGAATATAGGTTATTTTATCCTAGCCCCAGCAACAGATGAGCTACAGCTTTTGGACATGAGGCTTGCTGCAGCCATTGCCTATGGGAATCATGTGGAGCAGATGGGAGGGATGTAGCAGCCCCTTCATGCAGCACTGTAGTGGGAAGTGATGAGCAGGTGGATTCATTTCTTTGTTTCTTGGCCCAGAAAGGCCATCCTGCCTTTCACATACACAAATGATAGGTCTGTTCTCAGAATGCTGAAAGATGATATTTCTTGGCTTGTGCTATGCTGAACTCAACCCATCAGCCTTCCATGCCTAGACCAGAGCAACCTCCTTCCTCCTGGCCAACTACCACAGGTCTGTTTAGTGATATGATTCATAAAATGCTCATACATTGCTCCCCAGGGCCACCCTGTAAACAGTGGTTGCAGCAGCTTGTACAGTGACTGCATCTCACGTGGCCACAGCAAATCCCTGCTACCAGTTTCCTGGATAGAGGAATATTGTTCCTAGGCCATTGATGCTCATTGGTGTCTGGTTGTGGTGGGTGCTGTGGAAATGGTAGGGAACATGGAGCTCGTGCTGGGAGGATCTCTGCCTGTATGTCAGCTGCTCTCTTCTCAAGCTCCCACTGTTTTTTTGCCACATTTTCTCCACAGGAAGGTTGAAGTTTGCTGCTCAGCATCACATGTTTGTGTGCAAAGACCAGCCAGGGCAAGTGGTATTCAGTTACTGAGACCAACCACCCTGGGGGAATCCAGCAAACCAACCACCCAAGTGCAGAACGTGCTTGGATCTGCAGCAATAGGTGGATCATCAGAAGGGATTTGGGGTTTGTTTTCTGTGCAGCCCTTGCTGTGAGGACCTTAAGGTCAGACGTCTCTGCAAGCTGAGGTCTGGTGCTGTGCAGTGCCTGGTGCTGGGTCTCTTTGACCTGATGGGTCTCCAGCAGCCACATCTGCTGCCTGCAGCCCTGGGGCATGAGAAGGGGTACAGTGAGGAAAGGGCAGACAAAGCTCAGGGATCTTGCTGTTGGACTGGGGCAGAGGGCAGGTTGTCCTCAAGCCCTGCAGCAAGTTCTGGAACACGATGCTGGTATCATAAAGTCCCATGGAAATGGAAGAGCTCACTGATGGTTTTCAGAACTTGGCTCTTTTGCAGAGGAGTGTTGTGACACTGTGACCCTCAGGGTGGACAGAGATTTGGACTGGAGGTGTTTAGACAGAGTATGTCAAACACCAAGTGTGTCATCTGATGGTGGTGGTGAGGTGCTGGCGAAGGGTGCCCAGAGAAGCTGTGGCTGCCCCGTCCCTGGCAGTGTTCAAGGCCAGGTTGGACACAGGGGCTTGGAGGAAGCTGCTCCAGTGGAAGGGGTCCCTGCCCGTGGCAGGGGTTGGAGCTGGTTGAGCTCTAAGGTTTATTCCAGCCCAAACCAGGCTGTGGTTCTGTGTCTTCATTATGGAGATCTAATGGAAAGCTGGAAACAAGACCCAGAAGAGTCTCACTATGGAGAATGCTACTTGTGGCACACCTTTAGTACCCTTAGGAATTTAAATATTCCAGAACTGATGTTAACCAACTGCGACTGCACCCCTGTTCGCTGCCTCAAATACGCGCTCTCCATCAGAAAGTGTCATCTGTTGGCCACCAGCTGCAAGCAGGTACCTGCAGCTCCAGTGCTCAGGTCAGAACCGTGGTATGCATCTGCCTGCCCTGGCGTTAGCGGCTTTAGGTGGGAAGCACCAAGGCAGCTATTGCATTATTTTTTTTTTCCACTCTATAAATGTTTTTCTGGTGAAGTTCCTGTGATCTTGCTGTATTTTAACCCAGCCAACAGCTCAGCCCCACACAGCCGCTCCGGCGCTGTCCCCTGCTGGGATGGGGAGGGAATCGAAAGGGTAGAAGTGAGAAAACCAGTGGGTTGAGGTAGAGACAATTGAATAGGTAAAGCAAAAGCTGTGTGTGCACAAGCAAAGCAAAACTGGGAATTCATTCCCAACTTCCCATCACAGGTGGGTGTTCAGCCCTCCCCGGGGCAGTGGGCTCCACCCTGCATAACAGCGAATTGGGAAGACAAACCCCACCACTCCCAATGCCCCCCTTCTTTCTTCTTCCCCCCATTCGTATGCTGAGTGCGATGTCCTATAGCATGGGATGTCCCTTAGGTGAGTCGGGGTCACTGTCCCAGCTGTGTCCCCTCCCAAATTCTTGTGAACCCCCAGCTTGCTCACTGAGATGAGGAGCAGAAGAGGCCTTGACTGCAAGGAAATACGCCTGTGTAATCAGCCCTGCTCCAGCACAAACCCAAATACAGCCCATAGGAACTGCAGTGAAGAAAATTTACTCTACCCCAGCCCAAACCAGCACAGATCTCAACAGTTCACTCTGCTTGAATTAACTTGTAATGTTTTTCACTGCTAATCTTGGCTAGTAATAAAAGTAACTTGTCCAAGAAAAGCAGTGTTTGCAATGAGTAGAGTATGGTAGGGTGCGGATAGGATATAGGATAGGATAGGATAGGATAGGATAGGATAGGATAGGATAGGACAGGACAGAACAGAACAGAATAATGATTCTTTTCAGGGAAGGGACTTAAGGGCTGCCTGACTTCTCCAGGGCTGATCAGAAGTCAGAGCATGTCCTTAAGGGCATTGCCCAAATGCCTCTTGAACCCTGACAGACTTGGGGCATTGACCACCCCTTCAGAAAGCTGGTGCCAGGGTTTGACCACCCTCTAGGTAAACAAACGCTTCCTCACCTCCAGTCTGAAGCTCCCCTGCCACAGCAATGAGCCATCGCCATGCATCCTGTCCCAAGGTCCTGGGGAGAGGAGCTCAGCACATCCCTCACCATGGCCCCCCTTAGGAAGCTGCAGAGCGATGAGGTCTCCCCTCAGCCTTCTCTTCTCCAAGAAGACAAATCCCTTGTGCTCAGCGCTGCTCAGAGGCCAGCCCTTCACCGGCTTGGTTGTCCTCCTGTGGACCCATATGAGGACCTTCACATCCTTCT